CAAGGTGATCCTCTTTCTCCACTTCTATTTATTATTGTTATGGAAGTTTTTAACAGATTGTTGGAAAGAGCTGGGTCATTGCATCTGATCAAGGGGGACGAGTTTGGCAGAGGTCACTCGAGGATGGAGGTATCTCACTTGTTTTTTGCAGATGATTCTCTCATTTTTTGTCAACTGTAGGAAAGGATGATGCTCCACCTCTGCTGTGTTCTTTTATGTTTTCAGGCGGATTCTGGGCCAAAGATCAATCTCAATAAATCTGAATTGGTTAGAATTTGTGACAGAAGGGATGAGAATGAGCTTGCGGAGGTTTTTGGTTGCGAGGTGGCTTAGCTTTCGATAAAATATCTTGGTATGCCTTTGGGTTCTGGATACAAAGAAACGAAACATGGGATCTCATGGTTGAGATGTTTGAGAAAAGACCTGCAGGGTGGAAGATGAACTTTTTATCCAGAGGTGGCAGGTTAACTTTGATTGAGAGTACATCGTCCAATCTTCCTATCTAGTATTTATCGGTTATGACGGTTCCAGCCAAGATTGTTAGGAAGTTGGAACATATTCAATGTCATTTTCTCTGTGGGGATGAGGAAGGCAATAGAAGATTTCATCTGGTGAAATGGAGTAATGTGAAGAAGTCACAACATGATGGGGGCCTTGGATTGAGGTTGATTGTTGAGATGAATAATGCTCTTCATGGTAAGTGGTTGTGGAGATATTCGAGAGAGGACGGGAGATTGTGGAAGAGGGTTGTGGAGGCTTGTTGGGGTAAGGGGTGTTTGGGTGGGGAACTAAGGGATTTGTATAGACCTCATGACATGAGTTTATGGAAGAAAATTAGCATGGAGAGTAAAAAATTTCTTGAATGCACTAAATGGAAGGTGGGGAAGGGTGATAGAACTTGTTTCTGGTTGGATGAATGGGTTGGTGAGGGTAGGCTAAAAGGTCTTTTCCCGAATATATTTGCCATTGCGGCTTCAAGAAATATGAGAGTGGAGGAGGATTACACTGTGATGACTGGGAGATGAGAGTGGTCTGTGAATGTCACAATAAATTTGAATGATTGGAAGTTGAGGAATATGAAGCATTACTTCTTATGCTATCATAGATTCAGCTTGAGAGTCATAATGACCAGCTTATGTGGAAATTGAGAAAACAAGGGGACTTTTTTGTGAAGATCTTTTACAAGCATTTGACTAGTAGGGAAAGGAATGATCATGATCCTTTTCCAGCAAAACAATATGGAAGACAAAGGCTCCCCCAAAAGTAGCTTTTTTTGCTTGGGAGGCGAGTAAGAATTGTATTTTGACTGTCGATAAGTTGATGCGGAGAGGTAAAATTATGGTTAATTGGTGTTGCTTGTGCAAAATGGATGCAGAATCCTGTAATCACATTCTGCTGTGGTGACCGTTGTTTATAACATATGGATTATGGTATATAGTCTCATGGGGATCAATTGGGTTATTGCGGGATCGGTGAGGGATGAGTTATGGGCTTGGGCTGATTTATATAAAAAGAAAAAATATTTGCTCTTAATTCCTCTATCCATCTTTTGGGTTGTTTGGAAGGAAAAGAATGTTAGAGCTTTTGAGGGTGTTGACAGGGAGATAGTTAGTATAAGGGATAGATGGAGATAGTTAGTATAAGGGATAGATGGTTTTATGTCTTTGGTTCTATGGTCTTGGGTTATGTCATGACTAGGTTGGAAGATTTTGGGCATGTCATTGATCACTTAATTGAACTGTAAATATTTTTGTATATATGTGGTACCCCCTTTTGGTACTTTTGTGAATAATATATCTATATATTTTTATTTCAAAAAAAGAGTGGTTAGTTTGGGACTTCGAGCTGCATCCTCCTTTTATCTTGTTTGAAATGGCGGAAAGCTTTAAAATCTGAGATGGATAGTTTGAGTGCTTAGTCTGGGAGTTACTGCTGCAGAGAGCCAATATTTTCAATCCAAGATGACCTCATAGAAGTTAAATTTCTAAGAATAAATGGTTTCAGATTCTTGGTTTTTGTTACATGATCATCCTCTGGATTTTATGAAGGATTTAGCAAAACTTGTTGATACTTTGGTTGACTTGTAAATTTTGTATATGAGTGGCACCCTCTTGGTGCTTATATCAATACAATTCACATTTTATATTTAAAAAAAGAACTATATTTAGAAACTTACATTTTCAATCTTCTTCTCTTTTTAGTATATACATATAATCTCCCAAGAATAATATCTTCCATTCTTTTTATCTCGAAAAAAAAAATCTTCCATTTCCTCCTTCTAGCCTATATCCAAGAGATCTTAAAGCTCTACCTCTTTTGTTTTAGCTCTACTACAAATATCCTTTCAAAAGTTCATATAAATCAAGATTAGTATAAATGAAGTATTTGTTATTTTATTGAAATCAATGCATGTATTCCAACAGAAAATACCCATGACTTCTTCACCTTGACTTTTACAACCGCACATGATTTATGCGACCGGTACCAACTTGCTTTCACACTGCAAGGATCTAGAATTGGAGGAAAAAATTAATTATTAAAAAAATAGCTATTCTAAAAAAAGGAAAGGCAAGATTTGCTGCTTGAGGACAAGCACCTTTTTGAGGGAGGGTGTATTGTTATGTGCCACATGGCTGATGGAAATGATATACACATGGCTGCTAGAGTGGGATAAGTATGAAGGTACTTTCTAGGATATTTGGGATAAGTGTTGGTAGTGTATAGGATGTGGGTGTAGTTACTTAGGTCGGATAAGTGAAGTTATTATTCTTAATAAGTTATTTTTTCTTTTATAAAAGTTATACTAATGGGATATGTAGACAAATTTGTCAAAAAAGTTTCTTGATTATTTTAACTCTAGGAGATTGTTGCATTCTCTTGTAATGAGCTCATACTATTAACAAAATCTCATAACTAGATCTATAAGTCAGAACCATAGCATACTCCCCCCAAAGTGTGGGATACTGTTTGCTCATGCCATAATCATACAATGAGATAGGAAGCAAGATATCTAAATTTGTTTGGCAGACTCAATTCGGCCTAAAGGAGGAAAAAAGTCTAGTCCGAAGCTTCCAAGCTCCCAAAGAATGCAAAAGCAGATTAGGGAAGACTATTATTCTCCGATCAGTTAAAACTCATCAAGCACACATTAGGGAAAAAGCAATTTGGGGTCTGCAATTGATGCAAGTTGTTAATATAATTCTATCACCCTGTTCGAGATAAACACTCTTCCATTTAAGGAGCTTTCACTTTCCAAAAAGTGGAGGGAACAATAACTTTATTGTTATTGCCCCTGTAGATGAGGTTATCAAAGAAAGATCTATAGATAGGCTTTTGAAGAATCAATTTACCAAATTAAAATTTGAAATCAGGTTGGAAGTGGAATGAAAAGGCTTCGGTAGAGAAATCAGAGACATCAAGTTACAAGTTTCTAAATCATTTAGATTTCAAGAAAGTGGGGATTCCATGATACACAGTTATCATGAAGGGGCAAGGGGAGCAATTGGATGATTGTCTGCTAGAAAGTCGATAAAGATGAGGAAAGAGAGATGAAAGTTGTGTATCCTCCGCCCACATGTCTTCCCAAAAGAGAAAATGGGACCTATCCCCTACCCTAGCCTGCACAAGTGGATGAATTAAAAAATAGGCCTGCGTAGTTGCTTTCAAGAGGTTTATGTAGTGGATGGAAGAACCTGCTTTAGTGTCCCAACTGCTCTACTGTAGTGTGAACTTGCTTCTTATCATTCTGTGCCTCAAAGACATGGTCATTTAGAAAACGCCATAACTATTTGATTGGGAGAGCAATGTTTTTAGACACAAAATTCCCAAGATCTAACTTAGCTTCCTTCTTAGGAAAGCAACAAATCTCCCATTTCACAAAATTATCCCAATTATTCTCACCAACATCCAACTAAAAGAAATCTCTAATGATTTTCTCAATCCTCTTAGCAATCCCAACATGATTTAAAACAAAGAGACAAAACATAATTGGATGCTAGACAAACATAGATGCAAAAGGGTTACTCCACCACTGAGAGAGAAAAGGCTAGATGCAACAGAGTTACTCCACCATTGAGACAGAAAAGGCTAGATGCAACAGAGTTACTCCACCACTGAGAGAGAAAAGGCTCCTTTCAACTCTCTAATCGCTTAGAGATTTTTCCCACAACTAGATCTCATAAACAATAAGACATCGGTCAATCCAAGAGTAGAACATCCCACAAGGTTGGCCAAACTCCTAGTAACATTCTCCTCCAAGTTGACAACAGCATAACCACATTTGGCTAATCTGACCTTCAAACTTGATATCAATTCAAAAGTCTGCAAGAGGAAATGATATTATGAAAATATTCTTGTTTTGAGGAAGAAAAAGAATATCGTCATCCACAAGTTGCAAATGCTAAACTTCAATCTCTTTACTTACAAGGAAGCCCTTCATGATGCCACGCTCTATATTTCTTCTGATCATGTTGCTGAGGACCTCCACCACCAGAGTAAAGAAGAAATATGAAAGATGGCTTCCCTTGCCTAATATGCTCTTTTGATATTTGAACCAAGATTTGGGCTCACCATTAACAAGAAAAGGAAAAGAGGTCTGAGGAAAAACTGGAAAGAGGATAAGCTATTCTCCAAAAGAAAAGACACAGAGCAAAAGCTGTATTAATACAAATTAGCAACCAAATGCATTTGCAGCATAGACAAGAAAATATCCCTGAAGAAACTATGCGCTTTAGCAGAAAGAAAAGCACAAAACATTGTCTTTTCTTTAATGTCATCAAAAGATTGAGACATGTGCTTAACTATTGTAGCATTTGTCTCCCGTCAGAGTTCCCAAAATATAGCATAATTAGCCTATCTCCTGAGCATCTTATAATTTGTACTTCAATGAAAACCACATAAGAAGTGGAGATGAAAATCTCCAAGTAAGTATGATGCACCCAAGAAACATGGAAGAAGAAAATCTTTACGAGTCTGGTTAATAGTTAGGCTCTCCTTCTTGGCTGATACTTGGAGCTATATATATTGTGTGTTTTGTTTTCTTTCGGGGCAGTAGTTTAGTAGTTTTCCTATTTTTGATGTTATTCTTGGTACTTATGCTTGCTTTCTGACAGTTTTTTCATTTGGTAATTTGTTAGATGTTGTGCTATATCTTTGTGAGAAAGAACACGTAGAGGGTGGTATGATATTCCAGCTGCTGGAAGACTTGACAGAAATGTCTACAATGAGAAATTGCAAAGATATTTTTGGTTATATAGAAAGTAAACAAGATATATTAGGAAAGGTAAGTTTATAGAATGCTTCAGCACAAATTTTTACATTTTTGTCACTGATTAGTCATTTCATATATGGTTAAGTTATTCGACAATGGTTGATGCTTGTCCTTAATCATACTGTTGTGTTATGCATAGCAAGAGTTATTTGCTCGTGGAAAACTTGTGATGTTGAGGACATGCAATCAACTGCTTCGTCGTCTATCAAAGGTAGACAATGAGTCCATTGTTCTCCTTTTTGGTTTCAGCTAATTGATGTTTCAATGCCAAAAGTTTTTGTGGTTTCCTTGGTAAGAGACATTGGAAGGATTTCTTGTAGTATGATGATAATTGATAATCTTCTTTTCTTGAAATAAAAAGTATGGCATGATTCATTAACTCACAAGCACCAAGGAAATATCAACCCATGTAAAAAAATGTATTTACATGTCAATTAGAATATCAATGAGGTCCTCAAAATCTTCCATTGTATACAGAGGATTATCCATAACCAAAAAGTGTAGGATCTGGAATTATTTATCTTTAACCCTATCAAAATCATCTTTCACCTCTCAAAAGCTCTCATGTATCTCTCTTTTCACATCACTCAAAGATAGCAAGGGGAATGGAACTCACAT